CCCACCAAGCCACACCCACCAAGCCACCCCCACGCCCACCAAGCCACGCCCACAGCTGATCGGCTGGGTCTCCTTGGCTTGCCCTGCCCGGGAGAACGGAGCTGGAAAGCAGGTCAGTGGGGTGGGGAGGGAAACGAGGATTTGGCGGTATATCCTTCCCCTGCCACGCCCACCAAGCCCCGCTGTGCCCGCCGAGCCCCACCCACCAAGAAACACCCCCACCCACCAAGTCCCACCCTGCCCACCGAGCAATGCCCTGCCTACCAATGCCCTGCCACGCCCACCACGCCAGGCCCACAGACCCGGTAGTATAAAACCCATGGCCTCCCACCACGGCTTCGGACGATCTCATGGGGTAACAAGAGTGGGGGGGCGGCTGCCCCTGGCCCCCACCTTCAAATCATTCAGATGCCCATCCTGGCTTTTTACGGCCTTGCAATAAATTACCCCGGACAGCCTGCCCGGCTACTGGTCAGGACATGCAGGCGGACAAGGGAAGGCCCACACGAAAGGCGGTGCTAGAAGGGGGGGGGATGACTGGGCGGGGAGAAGGAGGAGGAGGAGGAGGAGGAAGAGGAGGGGGGGATGGGATACTTGGTGGTCTCCAAGTGGGGCTGTTTCCTTGCAGACCTTTTAGCGTCCCAACTAAGGAACCCACCCATCCACAAGCAAAGCGGAATCTCGATAGCAAAACGTTAATTCCAGCCGCGCTTCGTTCCTGCTTGCAACGGGGGACCCCCCGAACTCGCGTCCCTGATCGCGGAGGGGTGGAGTGAAGGGGGGCAGCATTGCATACCTGTGGCTTGTATCACCAGGTCAGGTGAGGGGGGGGGCCCGTGGCTGCCTCCGGCACATTTGTCCCCAGGTCAGGGACCCCGCGTGCCCCTTTGGAACGGCTGGGGAGGGGGTACAGACCCCCCCCTGTTTAGCCACAGCTGTCTGCCTTGGGTGGCTTCCCTGAATCTACCTGTTCGCATGCACACCTTTTCCCCCCCCCCCCAACCCCCCCCCCCAGCTGGGACACAACGGCCCGTTCACAGAAGACTGGCACCGGGAGTGGGTGGGTGGTTGTCTTCACCGGGTTTTTTTTTTCATGTTGCGGGGGTAACAGGTTGTGTTTTCAACTTTAAACAAAAAATAAAATAAAATAAAACAGATTTCAGCTGTCTTTCTAGCGTTGGATTGACAGCTGCACAGAAGGGGATGGATGACTCTGAAATAAATAAATGGGTTTTGTGCGTGCGTGTGTGTTTGTGCGTGTCTATGGAGGATGGTACACGACACGGGCTAAGCGTGTGCCAAAGGGCCAAACTGTGCACCAAGGACACCACAGAGTTCCTCCGCTTTTTCTTCCTCCTTCTTCAGCACTGATGATGTTCCCTAGCTGGGTCACGAAACGTCTGCAAGAAAACCACCCAGCTCAGAGAGCATCAAGGCCTCCATAGTCCCTTTCTTCCTCCTCCTCCTCCTCTTCCTCCTCCTCCTCTTTCTCCTCCTCCTCCCTTCCAGCACTGATGATGTTCCCTAGCTGGGTCACAAAATGTCTGCAAGAAAACCAACCAGCTCAGAGAGCCCCAAGGGCCCAACTATCTTCCTATTCTTTCTTTCTTTCTTCCTTCCTTCCTTCCTTCCTTCCTTCCATCCATCCCTGATGATGTTACCTAGTTGGGTCATGAAACGTCTGCAAGAAAACCACCCAGCTCAGAGCACCAAGGGCCCAACTATCTTCCTATCCTTCCTTCCTTCCTTCCTTCCTTCCTTCCTTCCTTCCTTCCTTCCTTCCAGCCCTGCTGATGTTCCCTAGCTGGGTCACGAAACGTCTGCAAGAAAACCATCCAGCTGTGAGCGCCCCAAGGACCCCCTCCTTTCAATTCTGAATTACAAAAGATTCCCCTTTATTGATTGAAAGCTGCCCTTCTCCAAGGGGAGAGCTCTCTGGGCACGTGCAGAGGGCTGATCTCACACCATGGGGAGCAAATGCCCAACACCCCCCCCCAAAGCTCAGCCTATTTGGGAACAAAGACCTTGCCTTGAAGCCCCTTCCCCCTTTATTGGATTTTAAGGCTCTTCCAGATGGAATCTGCGGTCTTTGGTATGTCCAACATGGTGCGAGGCAGGCAGAGTCTGGTGCAGGGAACTGGAGAGACCCTAGAGGTCATCCAGTCCAACCCCCGTCTGTGACTTTACCTCTTTGGTTGTGCCCAACACGAGGTGAGTGTGGAGTCTGGCGCAGGGAACTGGAGAGACCCTAGAGGTCATCCAGCCCAACCCCCCAACACACACACACACACCGCCCCGTCTGCGACTGCCTCTTTTGTGCGCCTACCACGAGGCGGCGAGCCTGGCGTCTGGTGCGGAGGGACCCTAGAGGTCATCTAGCCCAATCCCCTTCCAGGTCCCTCCCCGCTGGGAGATTCACCTGTGCAGCGGAGTGCCGGCCTCGGCCTCCAACTGGGCCCAGAGCCCCTTGGCTTCGGCCATCAGCTCCAGGTAGACGTCCTGCGGGTAGGCGCTGCGGGCGATCCGGCTTTGGCCGTGGGAGCTTCCTCGGGTGTGGGGTAGCGGGAACTGCGGGGACAAAGAGCGAGGCTCGGCTCCGGACACTCTCCGGAGCGGGGTAGGGTCCAGTGGGGCTTCCTCTGCTCCGAAGCCCCCCCTGGGCTTGCAAACCCAGCCTTCAGCCTCTCTCTCTCTCTCTCTCTCTCCTCCCTTCCCCTCCCCAGGTAGAAACCCGTCCGGGCAGCACCGCCGTTACCTGTTCCAGCAGGAGCGTCTTCAAGCCCCGGCGGGCCAGGTGGTAGGCAGCGCAGGAGCCCTGGATCCCGGCGCCCAGCACCAGGGCCTCGAAGAGCCGCCCGTCCCCCTCGGCAGCCATGGCGTCGCGGGCCCTCCGTCCCCGGGGAAGGGGGGAGGGCAGAGTCCGGCTGGCTTGGACGCCAGCCCGGGTCCGCCCTTCGGCCGGAGGGGCGGCGCCGCCGCCGGAGTGGTAGCCGCGCAGCTCCCCGCTCGCCCTCCCGGGCCGGAGTGGTAGCAGGGGCCGAAGAAGCCAGGCCCTGGAAAGGGGCTTTTTTATTATTTGACCCCCCAAAAAAGTACACAGCAAGCGAGAGAACTAGGTGTCAAATAATAACAATGGCTCCTTTCTGGAGACCCAGGTTCCTTTCCAGGGCATTATTTGATTATTATTATTATTATTATTATTATTATTATTATTATTATTATT